CCCGTGTTTTTTTCCCTGTTTTTCCCCAATTTTTCCATTTCCCCACCATTTTCACCCTGTTTTTTTTCCCTTTCACCCCATTTCCCCCCAATTTTTCCCATTTTCTCCTGTTTTCCCCCCATTCCAGGCCCAGCAGGGCTGGTGAGCTCTGGCCACATGTCCCCACAGACACACTCTACACCAATTTTAACACTGTTTTTCCCATTTTTTCCCCATTTTTCCCATTTTCTCCCACTTTCACCCTCTTTTCTCCCTTTCCCACCCCGTTTTCCCTTGAGCTGGATGTTCTTTCTTTCAGGAACAGGCACCGGGTGAGCCCGCAGGGGGTTCACAACCCTCCTTTTTGGGGTTCAGTTGGGCTGATTCCTGATTTTCTTTTTTTCCATTTCCTTCCAGGAATGCTGGCAGGGCCAAGAGGAAGCACCAGCCCCGCCCCAAGGCCCCGGCAGAGCCCCTGGATTTGGGACAGGGGCAGGAGGAGCAGAGGAGGATGAGCAGCCTGGCCCCCAGGAACTGTTGGGGGGCACCCAAGGGACTCTCCTGCCCCCACCCCCACAATTCCCAGCACTCCCAGGAGGCCACACCCGCCAGGAAACGCCGGCACCGGCGCAGGAAACACGCCGGGACGGAGCAGGGAATGTCCTGACACCCCTCAGGGATCCACAGCCCGTCCATGGACTCAGCCCTGCCCTCAGGGAGCGCCGGGATGGGGCTGGAACTGCCAGCTCAGCTCAGCAGGGCTCTGGAGTTTCTCATTTTCCTCCCTTTCCTCTCTCTCCACACGCACCCCCTGATGATTTTTATGGATCTCACAGGGATTTTTTTTACTCTTTTACACCAGAACTCCACTCCCAGAGGGGATGTGGGGGATAAACAAGGACTGGGATCGGGGAGAATCCTAAAGGAACATCCCTTAACCTCCAACCAAAAGGGCTTTTCTTGGTGTTCTCCATAATACGACAAGAAAGAGGATTTGGCCTGAAAATACAGGATTTTATTTTATTTTTTTTTCTCTCCTTTTCACTCGTTTTTGCTGAAGTAAAACCTCTGGAAGTGTGTCAGACCTGTGTGGTGAGGCTGTGATATCCCCT